TTATGAGACGTATAAGGAAGTGGACAATGAGGACTACTGAGAACTCAAGAACAATGGCAATGGGTTTTTGATCCTACTGCACGTACTGGCTTTGGGGGAGCCTAGGCAGTTTGGATGCTCACCTTACTAGACCTGGATGGAGGTGGGTGGTCCTTGGACTTCCCACAGGTCAGAGAACCCTGATTGCTCTTTGGGCTGATGAGGGAGGGGGACTTGATCGGGGGAGGGGGAGGGAAATGGGAGGCGGTGGTGGGGAGGAGGCAGAAATCTTTAATAAATTAAATTAAAAAAAAGAAAGTCATGTCACTTTTTTCTAGATAACTACCTCACCCAAACTTCCTTACCATTTTTCCATCTCCTCCATTGCTGAAGATATGGCCAGTCTCTTGCTCTCAGTTGCCAATCAGAATGAGAGGATAAGATCTCATTGCTGATGACACCACACTTTTTGGATACAAGGGCACAGAAATCAGTCAGAGCCTAGCGTAAAGCTTCCATTATACTGGCTAGCATTCATAGCAAAAGGACCTATAAACCTTTCTGGGAGAGAAAATTCATCAATGGCCTTATTTAGTCATAAAGCCAATATCCTATGATACTTACCTGTCAAGTAATATGTACCCACTAACAGAGGGCACAACTGGTTTGTGTGGCAGGAGCTAGCAATTAACTGTTTCCTGGTAAGATCTAAAAGGTATTCCACAGGAGTATATGCATGCCTAATACTGTAAACCTGGTCAAAAGCTTAAGGCTGGGAGGCCACGAGCTCTAGGGGAGACCATTTACTGAGGTTCTGGAAACAGGTAAGTGCTCACATTGCCTTCTAAATATGTGTGTTCATGCTCATTGACTACTGCTTGATCCTAGAAGCATCTTTTGCACAGTGTTGCTTACGGTGCAGACTCATAACTGGTCCAGATGATGAGAATCTGTGACTGTTGAGCCCTCAGCCCTAAGTACAATATCTATAACACCCACCATGTCTGCACAATATAGCAGAACAGGAAAAGAGAAGCTCAGAGTAAGAGGATGTGGATGAACATCTGAGACAGTGCTTTCTGGGTATGGCCGGCCCTATGGCAATCATGAACACACAGCAAGGGCCACCTGCATAAGATTTGCATAAATTAAAGATGTGAAAGCAGGCGGCGCCTGGCTGGAAGGAAAAGGGGAGTTAAAAGGAGAAGAGGCTGGTGAGAGAAGGCAGAAGGGAGTGGATATGACCAGAATGCATTGTATACGTGTATGAAACGGGCAAAAATAATTTGAAAAAGATGTGGCTAGCCACTATAACTTACTATATGTATGTATATATATATATTAATTGCTGGGTTTTCCTATTTTATTCTACTGATTATCTCTTCTACTCATGTATCATTAACAACTGCCTTAATTGTAAGGTCACACACACGTTTTATTGTATATCAACATATATTAATCTCAAGTGTGGTGAGCAGAGCTTCTAATGTGCACACGCATTTTCCTTCCCTTTTATTATTTTCATGCCTATTCATATTTTGACATTGCAGCGAAACTTTTATTGGAGTCACATTAAACTTAATAATTTATGAATATTTAATTCTGTTGGCAATTTTTGCAATTATATATAGCTTTTTTAATACAATCATAGTCAGCATTGGGGATTAATGACATAATAGATTCAGAAAATAAAAACAGAGAATTTCTTTCTTCTCTATATATCCTTATATATTTTAATTCGTGGGAATGTTTGAATCATTACGGATGTGATATATTTTTCTGTGAAACCAACTAAATCTGACGTTCCTTTGTAGGAGATTAATTTTTATGGGTTATTGTTTTGGTTACACTTTTGTCAAGGTCATTTGTGATAAGTTAATTTTCTTCATTATTCATTTTGAAATATTTTATTGTTATGAAATCTTACATGTGTGGGTGTCTGCTAACACATATGTGCAGTGCCTGGGGAGCCCAGAAGAGAGCATCAGAGCCTCCGGAATTGGAGGTGCAAATGGCTGTGAGCTGCCCTGTGAGGCCTGGGAACTGAACTTGGGTCCTCTGCAAAGGCAGCAAGTGCTCTGCACTTCTGAGCCATCTCTTGGCCCCTCTTCACTGTCTGCATCTAATCAAGGTTTTAAAATTTATTGGTAGAAAGACAGGAAAATAGAACTCATTAAGTTATCTGGGTGGGATTCTCCTTTTAATTTTTAAATGTGTGTTTTGCTTTTTATCTCACGTTCCTCTCTTTTTTGGACTATCATATGCAATATTGATATTACATACTTATATGTATTAATAATCTTCTTAATATTTATATCTTGTATAATTTTGATATTAATCGAGGTGTTTGAAATGGCTACAAAGCTCTATTGATTTCCAGTTTTTCTACATTGACTATTTTGCTTTCTTTAGTTTTACTGTACTGTTCTTTTCTACATGTTTGAGGGGAGTGTTAAGCTCATTTGTTTTGATTGATATTTATACTGATCTATGAGACCATGAATATTTTTTGAAAACTGACATATACCCAGAGATTTGTGTGTGTGTGTGTATTTTCATTATTATTTTTAACAAGTATACAATTTTGAGTTTTCTGTTTTCAATAATATCTTTTTTATGTATTTTGAAAAAGCTGAAACTTTGCCCTTCATTAGTGCCCTCTCCCCAGTATGCCCCTACTGACTTCAAACAGTTAGTGGTTTTAGAAAGGTCAATTCAGACACAAATGCCCATGATTGTTTTCTCAGGGGTGTGTGTGTGTGTGTGTGTGTGTGTGTGAGAGAGAGAGAGAGAGAGAGAGAGAGAGAGAGAGAGAGAGAGAGAGAGAGAGAGAGAGAGACGGTATGTGCTAGTAAGAAATATCAGAAAGTGGGTGGATGGAAATCCTTCTCCTTAATAACTTCATTTTCAAGTTCACTTGTTGGCGCTTTTTTCATGCTTAGATGCTCTGATTGATCCAGACATAGAGACCTTTGGTTTGCTATGTATCTAGATACAGCCAAACGACCATAGGCCGGCCTGAATTGCAGCACAGTGTAGTATATGACAAGCGGATTTGCACCGCCGTATAGTGTTCTGCTGAGGTGAGAAAGAAAGGATGATGCTCTCAGGAGGGGACTAGGGAAGTTTTCCTCACATCCTGCCTGACTAATCCTTCTTCTCTTTTGGTATTCTTGTGGCAATGCATGTTAACTTGCTGTGTTTATGGGGGACTTTCAGCAGCTCCTTCATGAGCTGTTGCAAGCAGCTTCTCCCAACTTCAAACTTAAAGCTCACACCGACTGCAAGCTCACCTACTTAAAACAAATCTCGCCCGCTCCAAACTTCAGCCTAAAAGCCTGTCATCTTCTCGCTACGTGGCCCACGGAGGAAAACACACTGGCCTGAGCTCTCTGTTTCTGAACCTCCTTCTGCCTTTTCATCTCCGTTTAATTGGTGCCTCATATCAGAGCAGCGGTTGAAATGTGATTACACCTCAAGCTTGCTGGGGAATTCGGGAGCTTGCCAGGAATGAAGAAACTTAACAACATTGTAGAGAAACAAAAACCAATGCAGTCGGGCCAGCACTGGGCAGCATAGATCCGTGAGAGTGCCAGAATAAGGGCCCACGTCAGAGTTGTCAGCTGAGGGGAGCTAGAACCCCCGTGGCGTGAGAAGACACCACAGCCCAGGGCCCGCGGCCAACCTGGAGCTGCACAAGAGTGGAGAGGGAGCAACCTCACTTTCCCAGCTGACCAAGTGGGATCAGATCAAAGAGCCCGGTGGGATCATTTCATCTGGCACACAACGCCCTTCAGAACCAGAGCCAGGGCTGCCACAGCTGGTGCCAAGGGCCCACTAAAAAGGCCTCCCATGGGCGATCCGCAGGCAATCCATCCTCAGGGCTGAATAAAGAGGCGGTTTTAGAGACAGCTCTGCTACACGGCGTTGAAATCACTACAACTAACCACAGTAAAGTGTCAAGGCGGCTGCACAGCTCACAGATATCCATCACTAAAACCAGGCCACGGAGCAGGATCTCAGCCCGTTCACAAAACAGCGGCAGATAAAGAAGAAATGAGGGTGGAATGCGCAGGTGTGATTTCTTTATTATTAGATGAGAAATGGCCCCAGCTTAAGGCCAGTCAAGGGGGTTTTCTTTTTAAAGTGAACTCCATTCTGAAAGATGCTTGTATTAAAATTGGCTACCCAACCCCATCCCTTTTTGGCTTTTGTTTTGCTTATCTTAGGAAACAGAAGATAAAATACCACAATGGATACATCCACAACACAATTCTCACACCTGGAGCTCAGGGAAAATCAAGGAAGAGAAGATGGAAAGGTTGTAGGCAGCAGAGGACTAGGATACCTCTTGTAGGACGGTGTCTTCTAGACATGACAGGGAAGTTGCACTCATGAAATCTCAGCATCAGAATTGTCCAAGCAAGGCCAATGTGAAGGAGGAAAATTTCAAAAGGCTCACCCCTAAATAAAGAGCTACAGAAAATCAATGACAGCTGAGAAAGAGAGAATCAGGTTATTTTTCCAGAGATGAAAACCCTGATGAATTATCCAGTCCCTAGTGTTCAGCCCTAAGCACATGTACATAGGAGCAACATTAAATGAACTCAGACGTTTATTATTTTTTCTTTTATATTGAAAATGCATTTTTAATATATCGCGACTATACTTTCCCCTCCCTCTCTTCCTCCCAGTTCTTCCTCACCTCCTCTCCCCTCCAGATCCACTCTCTTTCTGCCTGTTATCTATGAGATAGAAACCAAACATAGCAAAATAAGTATAATAATATGAAACAAAAACTGTGATGTTGAAGTTGGGCATGGAAGTCCAGCAGGAGGAAAACAGTCCCAAGAGTCAGCACAAGATCCAGACACCCACTTGTTCTCGCAGTCAGGACTCCCATAAAAGCACTAAGCTGATAGCAGTAAGTGTGCCGAGAACCTGGTGTAGACCCATATAGACCCTGTGCTTGCTGCTTTAGTCTCGGTGAGCCCATATGTGCCTTGCTTAGTTGATAAAAACAAATTCTGGAGCACTTCACAAATTTGTGTGACATCCTTGTGCAATGGCCCTGCTAATCCTTTCTCCGTCAATCCAATTTTAGTTTATTCTGCGTCAATCCAATTTTATTTTATTGTTTATTGTGCCAAAACAAGCTCAATCCTTTTCATTTTAATTAATTTTTAAATTTTTTACTTGAGTATTATATATTCATCATTTTCTCCCTCCTCCCCCCCCCAGCTCCTCCCAGGCCTTTTACTGCCTCTCAAATTTATGATTGGTAAACCCATTTCGGTAGCGAAGTTCCACCAGAAGTTCGCGGTGTGGATTTTGTTAGCTGCCTCACCAAATTGTCTTTCTTGATTAAGTGAAAGTATCTTAGAGTGATTATGCTTCCTTTCATTGCCTAGCATGTAAACATGACAGTGACTTGGAAATGCAGAGTTACACACGATTACATCACCACATCAATGTGTCATCGCGTTCTCTTGATGTTTAGTTACCCATGTGTCAGAAAACAAATTCCCCATGACTGGAAATGCCTTTCTCATTGTTAACACTTGCTTTAACCCTTCCTCCTGGGTTCAGATTCCTTTCTGAAGATTACCAATGATATAAATTCATTCAATAAGATTCTCCTGTCTCTGAAAGTCTCCCTCAAGGTAGAAATTAAAAATATCTCGCCTCGTTGATTTCAAGTAGATTCTACATGCTTTGATTTAGCTTCTTTTGCTCTTATTGATTACCTCTGGTTTGTCCGTTCATCTGTAGACCATTTTAATTTACTCTTCAATGACGTACAGATACTCTTTTTCTTTTCTTTACCTTCCTTTCTTTTTATCTATCCTTTTTTTATATTTCTTTCTTCCTGTTGTTGAATCAGCATGTTATTATGTTTTCCAGTTTGGTCGGAAATGCACTGTGTATCTCAGGCTTTCCTTTACTCACGGCAATACTCCTGTCTCAACACCACCTGCCAGGGGCTGCTCAGACCACTTGTGAGGCTTGTGCTACAACACCAGCCTCATAAACCTGCTTTATGATAATTTACTTTGCTTCACCAACAAAGACTTGCTATATTTTATATTCTCTCTTTTATCACCTTTTTGGCTCTCAATGAATAATAGTTACTAACTAGATAGGAATAGCAGCTATACAACCCTCATTTAGCTTGTCAATCAATTTCTTTTTTCATAATTTCAATTACTATAAAACTAAGAGGTTTTTATTTGAACATTAGGTAATCATTGTGTATCTGAGCTACATCCCCACTCCTAAATATGGTATCATTTTTTAACTTCAAGTAAACAGGTAGTTATCCTGTTGTCCATTTGTGTCATAGAAGCAGACCTGTGCCCAGGGAAAGTGCTCAGTGGATGATTCTGAATTTTCTCTTCTTGTTTGACCTGGTTTCTCCAGTTCAGTTCTCAAAGATACTAAGTGAGTGTGTCCAAACTTCCTTTCCATTCATTCTTCTATTGCAAGACACAGATTTAAAATGAGTGTTAAAAAGAAGGCAGCATCAGAGGATTCCTAAGATTTTCAGTGGACATCACTACGGTTCTCTATTTTTCAATCACATTCTATGTGATTAATTAGATCCAAATATCTGGAAGCCAAACCCTTCAAGCACATCTAGAAGGCCAAGTGAGGCAGGCCAAGTCTGATAGAAACAGCTGCTCGTTTCAAGTAACTCCAGAAGCCTTCCTTCTCGGAGCTCTCTTCTGAGCAGAGGAAACCATTTTTCAGTGGAAACTCTTCTATGTCCAACAAATGTTCAAGGCGATGCCAATGTTCTCTGCTGCATGAGATGAGAGCCTCCTGAGAGCTGCTGATGTGGGACTCTTCTGAGATGGGAGCTGGCAGTGCCCCGGTGGCGACATGCCATCTGGAGAAACGTCAGGAGGCTTCAAAGATTTGCCTGACGTATATGTAAGGCCAGACGACACAAACTATGTTATTCATTGTAACTGGGTAAGGAAGTCTCTGAACTAGGGGGTGATTCTCAGGATTTTAAAAGATAAAGTAACAAATGATACAAATGAGTTAAATAATTTTTTACAGTTTTTAAACATAAGCTTTCAGTTAGAATGATATTGTACGCAAATAATACATTTTATTAGGCAGAGTGCAGCCAAATTCTTCTCTGTTACAAGATAAAAGTGAAGCTTGGAAAAGTTGCATGAGCTTGGAATCCTCTGGACAGAGGCAGGAGGATAACCACGACTTTCAGGCCAACTTGGGCTACTTAGTCAGTTACCGGGGCTTGGTGAGACCACATCACAGAAGAAATAAAACCAAAGAGATAAGAGTACTTCAACTGAGGTACATTTAAATGGCAACTAACGGACCATGGTATGAGACTACTGGAAAGAATCTAATGTTAGATAAAGGCAACATGACCTTCCAGAGACCTAGCACATCCTGATAATCTAAGATTATGGGGAACATGGCAAGCTTTCTGTTAAAAAAAAATTCTAGAAACCAAATATGAGTGAGAACATCCCATGTTCCTCTTTTTGGGTCTGGCTTACCTCACTCAGGATGGTGTTTTCTATTTCCATCCATTTGCCTGCAAACTTCAAGAAGTCCTTGTTTTTTACTGCTGAGTAGTACTCTAATATGTATATATTCCATACTTTCTTCATCCATTCTTCAATTGAAGGGCATCTAGGTTGTTTCCAGGTTCTGGCTATTACAAACAATGCTGCTATAAACATAGTAGAGCATATACTTTTGTTGTGTGATAAGGCCTCTCTTGGGTATATTCCCAAGAGTGGTATTGCTGGGTCCATGGGTAGGTTGATCCCAAATTTCCTGAGAAACCTCCACACTGCTTTCCAGAGTGGTTGCACAAGTTTGCATTCCCACCAGCAATGGATGAGTGTACCCCTTTCTTCACAACCTCTCCAGCAAAGGCTATCATTGGTGTTTTTGAATTAGGGTTCTTAGAGAAGCTAAATAAGAAGGAGAACCCAAAGAAAATCATATAGGCATCCTCCTGAATATTAACCTTCATCAGGCGATGAAAGGAGACAGAGACAGAGACCCACATTGGAGCACCGGACTGAAATCTCAAGGTCCAAATCAGGAGCAGAAGGAGAGAGAGCACAAACAAAAAACTCAGGAACGCGAGGGGTGCACCCACACACTGAGACAATGGGGATGTCCTATCGGGAACTCACCAAGGCCAGCTGGCCTGGGTCTGAAAAAGCCTGGGTAAAAACTGGTCTCGCTGAACATAGCGGACAAGGAGGACTACTGAGACCTCAAGAACAAGGGCAACGGGTTTTTGATTCTACTGGACCTATTGGTTTCGTGGGAGCCTAGGCAGTTTCGTGGATGCTCACCTTACTAGACCTGGATGGAGGTGGGTGGTCCTTGGACTTCCCACAGGGCAGGGAACCCTGATTGCTCTTTGGGCTGATGGGGGGGGGGGACTTGATTGGGGAAGGGGGAAGGAAAGGGGAGGCGTCGGTGGGGAAGAGACAGAAATCTTTAATAAATAAATAAATAAATTAAAAAAAGAAAGAAAGAAAAAATTCTAATATAGAAAAGATGAGCCAAATAGACTACTAGCTTGTAGAAACATCTCCTCTCCTAGGAGCATCTAAAACTTCTCGCAAGATGGCACTGTCCTGGATGTAGAGAGAAGTAATCTTCAAATTAATTCACTGACCATCTTTGTGATTCCCTGTATGATAGTAGAGATCCACAAAACCACTTATAGGAGCCAAGATTCTCTTTACCAATTCAATAATATACTCACACCTATTTTTCTATATTTTTATTGATTTTCATATGCCATTAATAGCTCTGGTTATGATGTTTTTGGAGGTGCATACTGTCATGCTTTGTTTATTCTCACCTCGGGATCTTCCTGGTTTCCCACCATCCCTCACTGCTCCTCTTCCTTCCAACATATAACCCCTTTTCTTTCATGTCCCACACATTGTTTTAGTGATACTCTGATGTATAAACTTGTAACTTTTACTGAGAAAAATATAAATTTCAAGTCTAACTAATTCATTGCCATTATCTTGGCCAATGTAAAAAGTATAATTTCTTAATTCAGTGGAATTTTTTGGAGGCTTGAAAAGAGTAAATAGTGGATCGTTTTTCTCATGTTCTCTATTTCCTTCGAGCTTGTTTATATCCACAATACAAACTCCATAAAAATCTCATTTTTGTTCGTCTAAAGAACCCAAGTTATAGGGAGGCTGTTAAAATGCCAGTACTATTGTCTTCCTTTTTGGCAATAAGCTAAACCTTCGCATAATAAATTTTGTATGTGTGTTTAGAGACTAGCTGCTCAGACTTATCACAATTTATTGCTTTTTTTTTTTCATGCTGAGATAAAGACTTATTGCTAAACACATTTGCTTTTTGGTGCTTTGGAGCCTGCTTGCTCCTGGGTGCCAATTACCCTCTGGCAGGAGCCTGAAGGTCTCCATGGAGCAGCTGGTGTCAGCATCGCATAAAATATGCTCCCGAAATGGATCATTCTGCTGCTTAGGGAACACGCAGTAGAGGCTTAGCCGAAATAAAGAAAGAACAAAGCTATGGCATCCAAAAATAAAATCAAAGGGGATCAAGTTAAGGTTATTTATATATACTGTTACGGGACTCAATATTCTAAACACCTCACAGCTGTTCAAAATTTGAGAAGAAGAAATCAAATATATCACTAGCATCTCTTTGGCCGGTGGGTTTCTTGGGCCAGGTATATCTATCATCCATCTATGCTGGACGGCCCTGTTGTCCTGATCGTGTCTCAGTTCTGCTTAGCAGTTTGAAGTTGTGGTCAGGAGAACTGGACCTGATTTTGGTCAAGTGGGTTAAAATCTCAGCTGTGCAACTTCCTGACTCTCTGACCCTGGGCAAGAAATCTGATGTCTTTAATCTCTGGTTTTCCATGGACACAATGGGGGTGGGCTGGGGAGTCATTGTTATCTTTGAGAATTGCTGTGGGAATTCACTGAAACAGTCAATGCGAGGCTCTGGGTTTAGCTTCCCAGCTATGAATTTCTCAGCGAGCATTAACAATTGCTATCACTTCCATGTTCTATGAGGATGTAAAGCTGAGCCCCAGGTATCAGAGCAGAAGCCGCTTCCTAGATCTGG